GAGAGACGGAGAGACACAAAGAGACGCAGAGAGAGGAAAAGAGACACAGACAGAGGCAGAGAGAGACAGAGAGACACAGAGAGAGGCAAAGAGACGCAGAGAGAGGCAGAGAGACGCAGAGAGACACAGACAGAGGCAGAGAGACAGAGAGGCAGAGAGACACAGACAGAGGCAGAGAGAGGTAGAGAGACACGGAGAGAGGCAAAGAGAGAGGCAGAGAGACGCAGAGAGACAGGGAGACGCAGAGAGAGACAAAGAGACACAGGGAGACACGGAGAGAGGTAGACAGAGACAGAGGCAGAGAGACACAGAGATGCAGAGAGACACAGAGATGTAGAGAGACACGGAGATGTAGAGACCCGGAGAGAGAGACAGAGAGAGACAGAGAGACACAAAGAGACGCGGAGGGAGGCAAAAAGACAGAGAGACACAGAGAGGCAGAGAGACACAGAGAGGCAGAGAGATACAGAGAGGCAGAGAGACACAGAGAGAGACAAAGAGAGGCATGGAGACACAGAGAGATGCAGAGAGACACAGAGACACACAGAGAGGCAGGGAGACACAGAGAGAGGCAAAGAGACACAGAGAGGCAGAGAGACACAGAGAGAGGCAAAGAGACACAGAGAAAGGCAGAGAGAGCCATAGAGACACAGAGAGAGAGGCACTCAGTATACGGCAAATCTTTTCGTGTTAACTGCACATTTTGAACGCATTTTGAAGTGTCCTTGAGCAAGACACTGAACCAGGTGGCACCTTGCATGGCAGCCTCTGCCATCAGTGTATGAATGGGTGTGAATGGGTGAGTGTAGATATGTAGTGTACAGAGCTTAGAGGGGTCAGAAGACTAGAAAGGTGCGATATAAATGCAAGTCCATTTACCTTCTTGGATAAGAAGAAATATGATTTAATCATCTCAAAAATAAGATATTATGACTTTCTTGAATTTCCCTTGCTGCAATGTATGCAGGCTTTATATTATGGTGTAATTGTGGGTAGTACAGATTAATTGGTTTTCACAATTTAACAATTTAACATTTAAGATTGTTCTTCAGTTAATTATATGTAAAAGAAAAGCCTAATTAATCCACTCTGATTTAAAGGAACAATAAAAGCTGACATTTTGACAGCCACTGGATGTAAGTAATGTGGCTTTGGGAGACAGTCTCTTGTGCCACTAGCTGCCCTGACATTTTGTTTTCATGCTTGCAGTGAGTGAGAAATTCAAAACGCAGGCACCAAATATCAACACTATGGACTCGTCTGACTTGTCTGGGGAGGAAAACTCAATGTAAAACACCGGTCAAGGTATAATGCCACTGATAGACTGAATTTACCTCTAAATGTTTACTTGATTGGATTGAGACACACATGATTTGATAACAACACTGAATGTCTATAGCTATGCTAGCAGCTCTGTGCAGCTGTGCTAAGCTAAATGCTAACTTGCTCACAATGGCAATGTTCAGTGTTCAGCGGGTGTATAATGTATAATGTTTACTATGTCGACCATCTTAGTCTTGTGTGTTCGCATGCTAACGGTTGCGAATCTGCACTAAACGTACAGAACTGAGGTACTAAACCAAAGTATTGGACATGTTGACGCGTAAGAGGTTCTCCAGAGTTATTACAATTTATCTGAAGAGGAACATGAATGTGTTTACCAAATTAGGCAATCTGTCCAATAATTGATGAGGCATGCTAAACCATGAATGTAAACTTCATGGTGATGCTATTGCTAGCCTCTAGGGTCAAATCAAACAGACTCAATGTATTGCGGCTTCTTCTGAGTTGGATGTAGTAAATGACTATATTGCAAAAATGGGGTACAAGTTGTAGTAGTGGCCCCCCACCCATCCAGACTGCTCTCCTGCGCATATGGGTGTATGACGTATGAGGCCTGTGTTTTTTTTAACATGAAATGACCTTGAAGAGAACACAAGAAGTGGAGCGCCAAAGTGAGTATCTACGTGTTGAGGTCGGGAACAGAGATGGAAGATTCGACAAACTAGCCCTCGCGTTGCTTTGCAGTACGTGTGAGTTAGTGTGTATACGAGGCATCGCAGATCAGAGCGCTTCAAAAAAGAGACTTACAAATAAAAGAGACCTTCCACTGAACATGATAGGCAATTTCAGATGCATTCAATAATAAATAAATAAATACAACTAAAAATAAACAACTGTATTTCAGCGAAAAATTTGAATTGTGTGAATCATTAGTTATTAATAAAGAATAGATTTCCATAGTCCAATCTGACTTTAAAATGTCAGTTCACCACCTCAGAGTGTCTTTGAGAAACTTCCTGTTTCCACAAACCAATTTTGCTCCAAAGAATTAGCAGACCACCTCAGAGTGCCACTCAGACTATATCAGCACATCAGCATCATGTTGAATATGAAAATGTCATAAAGGCTCCATCTAAACTCAGATTCATTTACTAGAATGATCCCGCCGGTATGATCATATGCATTAAAGGGTTAAATCAAACAATTATGAACATAAAACAATATAAAAATATTTAGAAGTCATATCCTGACTAAGACCAAGCTCGATGACTATTACACACACAAACAGTGAACTAACCTGGCTGTCAGGGTCACCGGGCATGCCCAGTACTGGTGCTGGTGGTCTGGGGGGGGTGATGGGTGGGTGTGACGGGGTTACTGGAGGTCGTGTGGCCAAACGAGGTCTTTCACACACTTTGCACAGAATACTGCTGGCTGCGTTCACCATGGTGCAGCTCTTACACTGCCACTCTGAGAAGAAGACATTAACACACACACACACACACACACACACACAAACCTCACTCAGTTCAATCACGTCCTCAACTTAAAAGTACCTTGGCTGTGGTGGCAATTTTTTGGCTATTGTCAAGTGACAATAAAAGGTTAAAAGAGATTAAAGATGAAGTTTAAATTCAAAAATAAAAGCTGGTATTCAAATGATAGTCTCCTTTAACAGGCCGGTATGCACAAACATATACAGGCAGTTAAAAAAGAGCAGGAAAAAAATGTACCGGTTGCTGGCAAAGATGTAGCATTTCAAAGTCAATAGACTGTATAAATATATATATATATATATATATACACACAACTCACTTAATCTAGTATTAGTTGTATTTATTTGATTTTATCGCAGTTTCCATGGTACTGATGCAACTAGAGTGCAGTAGAATAAGGAGGTGGGTTTGGATACTGGACTGGTTGGGATAGCTGTGGGATGCACCATGAGACAGCACAGACCAGTAATGGTGGCAGGCTGAGATTCATCTGCTTTACAGCTGATCAGCTCCAGGCGAGGCCGCTCACACTCCTCACAGAGCACATCCTGGATGAAGTTGACTTTGGTGCAGTGGAGGCAACGCCAGGTGGAAGAACTGAAACAGGGGAAGAGGGGAAAGTTATACTGCTGTGTCAGTTTGCATGGACTAATTATACTGCATATCCATACACATCGGTTCTGTTCACACACTTATCAGTCATACAAGCACTCAGTTCCAACACTTTGACTTACACTGTGTCGCAACTGTTAGACTTTGCTGTGATCAGCTTTAACATCAACCATATTCCTGACTAGCCGTGTTTCCATTCACATATTTTAAATGACTTCCTCAACAGCGCTCAATTGAGGTCCTTTTTTGTGGCATTTCACAAGTTCACTTAAATTTAAACAATTGACCCTTCGAAAGTCCCGAATGCAGACTGCCAGCTCTGAACAGGGTCAGATAACTCAGGTCTGCTCCATAGACTCTCATCAGTGGTTTCAGATGTTCTTCATCTTCAGGCTGGTTTAGTGGATTTGGAGCTCGTCATGGTTAACCGTGCGATAGTGATACTCGTTACCCGGAGAGGTTGGAAAGAGATATACGTAAAATTCTAAAACTTTACATTTCTACCTTAAAAAGCTGTGGATCTAGCATTAGCAAAGTATGTTAGCATATCATAAACTAATGTTAGCACTTCTATGCTATGCTAGCTACTAAACATATACTGAATGTTATTTAATGATTGTAACAGTGAATAAAGAGGAACAGTTGTTCCTTTATTTCATTGTCGTCTGTCTGCATCTCCAGGTGATGTGGTGGTTCACGTTTACACTGTGACATGTAGCTTTAGCTTCTATCTTTATCTTTTTAACATGTCTTCACTGCTGAATCACTTAGACATCCTGGATTCTCCTTCAAATGCATATTATTGACCCATACGTTTGCTTCTCTCTGAATCACTTTATATATTTATTCAGTGAGTGCAGGTAGTGACAGTGTGGGCTCCATGGTAGCTCTGACAGCTTGATGGAGTAGCAGCAGGGGACGGGGCTTAGAAAAAGGGTCAATTGAATGGAAACACCGCTCCTGTCTGTAACCCACATCATTTGATTGGTTGAGCTTGTTTGGCAGCTCGGTTAGCCAACCATAATTCAGATGAAAATGTAAATCAGCAATTTGCATTTCATTTTAATATAATTTAATTTAAATGCACTAAATAAAAATAATTGAATGATTAACTTCCTGTCTAATCAGCATAGAAACGACAACAACTGATCTGCACCAAATCACAGATGGGGAAAGAGGGCAGCTGAGCAGCAATGATGACATACACCTGCTGAGAACTTTTAGTTTTCAAGTCAAGTATTCAGAACCATCACTGCTGTGGACAGTGGAATCAGAGTATTTCCATTTTATATTTCATACCTTTGACTTTTCCTGTTCTGGGATGATGTTGACGATGACAAGACAGCTGTTCGCCGGTGGTTGGCCCTCTCAGGGTAGGAGTGGTACAATCTGTCACATTCTGAGCAGAGCCCCTGGAGGCAGGTGAGGCAGTGGGCAGAGATGCGGAATATCCCACAGATAGTGCAGTTCTCTGAAACAGAGAGAATAATTTGCTCAACCAAACACTGTCGCGTCATTTTTTACTATGAATCTTGGCCAAATCACAGATTATATTGTCACAAAATCAAGATACTTTTCTAGTGAAAAAGAGAAACACTGGAAAAAACACACAAACAGGAAGTATATGTGGATATCTTCTCTGTTCCATGCCAATACTCTCCGGTTGCTAAAGTATATCTACAGTATGTAGTCGTTGGCCAGCATATAACAGGCCTAGCTGCTGGATGACGGTGTTGTTAGGATGGTGAGTGTGTGTTCCAGATGATGACAAATCTGTTTTGAAAAGAGGTTATGCTAGGAGGAGTGCCGTTACCTACATTTATAAAATTTAAATGAGTACAAAGTCATCCAAAGGACGTCAAACTCCTGGTAAAACAACATTATGGTGCTTTACCTTGATTAGAAAAAGGCAGGTATTTTCAGAAAATACTTGGCAGGGGACTGGATGAACCATCTGTCAATCAAACTCTTTCCTAAGAAGAGCTATAACATATTTTCCATGGAGAGAAGCCTTCAGTGTCGTTCTTTGCATTCTTTTCCCGATGAAGAAATACCCTCCACTTCTGATATAACTGACGCTATTGCAGCATCCACGTTAACCCTCTCACGAACCGCCATTGTTGTTTAGAACAAATATTATCCTCTGCGTGTCCTCACAAGCACATAATCAACGCCCCCAGCAGCCTGTAGCCTCTCACAGGATGCCGACTGGTCCAGGATTGCCGGACACAAATGCCTTATTTGAAGCCTGACAAGATGGATTTTGGTGTGATTTGTAATTACATGATTCTCGCCTGATCTGCGAAAATCCAGCTGCTGTGCAGACTGATGCGGACCCTCAACTGGAGTATGAGTGGAACCACTTGCGAATCCACGCAACTAGTACAAGTCCGCAACTGTCTGCAGAATGGGGAATATATACCAGGCTTACGACACGTCAAGTTATTGTTCTTGCTTTTACAAGTTGTTATTAGCTGTACCTAGGCTGCTTCAGTGTTAATACTTTTGCAGTTCCTGTCTGTGCAAGGTAGGTGTGATTTTGGTTTCACCTGGTCAATTGCTCTGCTAAGTGGCAGGGGAGTGGCTTTCACATCTCAAGGATATAAATAGTCCAGTCAAAGTTTTCACTCCAGTGTGTATTTTGCTTCTGGAGGGATACTGAACTACTGACGGATGATTTTGCCAACTTCTTTGACAAGAAGGAAACAATATCAGATCCTCCTTCTCTCAGCCCCCCTCTCCCTGTCCACCCTCGCCACCCTCTCCAGCTCTTCCCCCACAGCTCTCCCTCCCCTCTCCATGCCCCATCCTACCCTATTTTGCTCCCCTCTCCCCTAACCACCCCCACGATGTGCTCCCTCGACACCCTTCTTCCCCTCTTCTTCAGTCTATTGCGACTGAACTCCTTCCTTTCCTCACCCACCTCATCAACACATCTCTTGTTTCAGGATGCTTTCCCACATCTTTCAAGACTGCCAGAGTCACCCCCCTTCTGAAGAAACCATCACTTGACCCCTCTGATGTCAAGAACTTCAGACCAGTTTCTCTTCTACCCTTTCTATCCAAAACACTTGAACACTTCAACTGTCTTCCTATCTCCACCATAACAGCCTCTTGGACCCTCACCAGTCCGGGTTCAAGGTGGGTCACTCGACTGAGACAGCCCTCCTTGCGGTGACAGAGTCGCTTCACGCCGCGAGAGCGAACTCTCTCTCAGGCTCTTGTCATCTCCCGCCTGGACTACGGCAACTCACTACTTGCCGGAGCCCCGGCGTCGGCCATCTCTGGAGCTTGTCCAGAAAGCTGCAGCTCGTCTGGTGTTCAATCTCCCCAAGTTCTCCCATGCAACTTCCCTTCTCCACACTGGCTCCCTGTAAGAGCTCGCATCCAGTTTAAGACTCTGGTGCTAGCCTACAGGGCAGTGAAAGGAACAGCTCCTTCCTATCTCCAGGCCATGGTCAAGCCCTACACCCCCGCCCGGCCACTTCGCTCTGCTGCCTCGGGGCGATCGGTTGCCCCGTTGCTCAGAGGTCCCTGCGGCCGATCGATCCGGTCACGACTGTTTTCTGTCCTGGCCCCACAGTGGTGGAATGAACTCCCCACTGACGTCAGGACAGCAGAGTCGCTGCCCATCTTTCATCAGGCTGAAAACTCACCTCTTCAAGAAGTACTACCCTGAGCCTTCCACTTAGCACTTATTGTAGTCAGACTAGTTTGTTGCACTTATTGTCTTCGTATTAGTTTGTTTCTGCATTGTACTTTTGCTCTGGTTTATCCTCTTAGATACTTGTTTAAAAAAGGAGATTCACTTATGACTTCTGGTGACTAGTAGTTATCTTGAATACCTATGTTGAATACACTTATTGTAAGTCGCTTTGGATCTGCTAAATGACTGTAATGTAATGTAATTCATGATGTTTCAATGTGTAAAACCAAAACCACGTTCTTAATTAGCAAGGGGAAATGTTTGATAAGTGTGTGTGTCAGTTATTACAGTATGCAGTCTGTCTATAAATGGGCAGATAAACAAGCATACATCAATCCATAGCTAACCAAGATAGTTGATGCAGTAAAAGCGTGTTTTCTCTCCTCACCTGGGTGCTTGTTTGAGGAGGTGGGAAAGACCTGAATGGACCGGAGACTTTGGTGGTTGGTGGACAGGGACTGGCCACGACTGCTCACCCTGGAAGAGTGATGGTGGAGGGGGAAGGCCAGAGACTTGGTCTGACCACCTGAGAGGCATGAAGTGGAGGAGAAGTGGCAGATCACAGCATCAGTGTTGAGACCTACATCCTAAGAGGAGAGAAGAGAGGGGGAAAGCTGACTTGAAAAATCGGCACGACGGGTCATCGTTAACTTCCAAATAAGAGATGGCTCCGTTCAGTGTGATGTAATACTATTACCAACATTTCACCAGACACAATGGCTTCATTAGACAAAGCTTAGCCGACTGTTTGAGTATCTTAAAAATACTTTTTAGTAGACCATTTCCTTTCTCCTTTCACTGCAGCTCAACACTGTCCACCTGACTCACCTGGAACAAGTATTTTATTCTTGCTTTTACTAGTGGTCTTCATACCTGTACTCAGTTGTGAATGCTTTGTGAGTTTCTGCTTGTCTGAGGAAGGTGTGATTGAGTCTCACCTGGTGAATAGCTTTGCTAATTGCCAAGGAGGAGCCTGCACTCCTGGCAGACAATGAGCAATCAGTAAGTAGCTGTAATTAACCACTGCTGGTGGTTGAAGCGTCAGACGTGCACTAATTCATTGTTTGCCAACCGCCAATAAACCTCAAACAAGAAGAAGAAGAAGTGTCAGGCGAACAAAGGCAACAGGGCGACTTTGTCAAGCCTGACTTCTCGAGCGTGTACTTGGGGAGTTTCTATTTGTCTACCATGTGTTTGCATCCTATTTCTGTCCGTTCCTCTGTCGGGTGGTCACGTAGACATTGGGCCACTACCAGGTGCCGTGACCCCACTAACCTCATCTGTCCTACTCTCTCAGCTCATGGCGAGCGAGTGGTGGCAGGGGGGCTCTGGAATTGCCAGTCGGCAGTGCCGAAAGCTGAGTTCATCTCAGGCTACGCTTCCTTGCTCTCCCTCAACTTTCTTGCTCTAACTGAGACCTGGATCACACCAGAAAACACCACCACACCTGCAGCTCTGTCAGATGTGTACTCTTTCTCTCACACTCCCAGAGCTGCGAGGCGAGGTGGTGGTACTGGCCTGCTCATTTCCCCAAAATGGAAATACACTCTTGTCTCTGTTCCACAGTTCTCCCCGTCCTCTTTCAAATTTCATGCTGTTACTGTCACTTATCCAGTCAAGCTCACCATTGCTGTTGTGTATCGCCCACCAGGTGAGTTCACCACTTGGTGAGTTCCTGGAGGAGCTAGACACATTAGTCTGGCACTTCCAGGACGATGGCTCCGCACTCATCCTGCTCGGCGACTTCAACATCCAGACTGATAAATTAGAACCTCTTCTTTCCTTCCTCTCCTACTTTGACCTTTACCCCTCCTCTTCTCCTCCTACCCACAAGGCCGGCAACCAGCTGGCTCTTATCTTCACGAGACACTGTTCTACTGCTAACCTCTCCGTCACTCCCCTCCAGCTCTCTGACCACTATTTCATGTCCTACTCCCTCTCCCCCCTTACTTCCTCCACCTACCCACATGGTTTCTACCCGTAGTCATCTCCGCTCCCTCTCCCCCGCTAATCTTTCCTCTTCTGTTACCTCTGCCCTCCCTGACCCTGAATCCTTCTCTCTCCTATCCCCTGATACTGCTACTGATCTTGTCCTCGGCACCCTTTCCTCTTCTTTGGACAACCTCTGTCCCTTCACCTCCAGGCCTGCACGGCCAACTCCACCTGCCCCATGTCTGTCGGACTCAGTGCGTACTGATAGATGGACCGGACCCTAAGAGAGGCTGAGCGTAAATGGAGAAAAGGCAAACTCCCGGAGGACCTTCTTAATTTCAATCTCTTCTTTCCACGTTTTCCTCCTCTCTATCTACTGCTAAAGCTGCTTTCTTCTGCTCTAAAATCCTAACCTCTGCTTCCAATCCTAAAAAACTCTTCGAAACTTTCTCTTCACTCCTCCAACCCCCCCCCCCCCCCACCCCCTTCTCCTACTTCCTCCCTTCTCCCTGACGATTTCGCCAACTTCTTTGACAAGAAGGTAAACGATATCAGATCCTCGTTCTCTCAGCCTCCTTGTCCCTGTCCACCCTCTCCCTCCCTCTCTCAAAGTCCCTGTCCACCCTCTCCCTCTCTACCCTCTCCAGCTCTTCCCCCACAGCTCTCCCTCCCCTCGCCATGCCCCAGCCTACCCTATTTGGCTCCCCTCTCCCCTAACGAGGTTCTCAACCTTGTTACATCTAACCGCCCCACGATGTGCTCCCTTGACCCGATCCCCTCCCCTCTTCTTCAGTCTATTGCGACTGAACTCCTTCCTTTCCTCACCCACCTCATCAACACATCTCTTGTTTCAGGATGCTTTCCCATGGCTTTCAAGACTGCCAGAGTCACCCCCCTTCTGAAGAAACCATCACTTGACCCCTCTGATGTCAAGAACTTCAGACCGGTTTCTCTTCTACCCTTTCTATCCAAAACACTTGAACGTGCTGTCTTTAATCAACTGTCTTCCTATCTCCACCAGAACAGCCTCTTGGACCCCCACCAGTCCGGGTTTAAAGTGGGTCACTCGACTGAGACAGCCCTCCTTGCGGTGACAGAGTTGCTTCACGCTGCGAGAGCGAACTCTCTCTCCTCTGTCCTGATTCTCCTGGACCTGTCTGCGGCGTTTGACACAGTGAACCACCAGATCCTCCTCTCCACCATCGAGGGGATGGGAGTCTCAGGCTCTGCACTCTCCCTGTTTGCATCCTACCTGACAGGTCGATCCTACCAGGTGACATGGAGGGGGGCTGTGTCTGAACCACGCATGCTGACTACGGGGGTTCCACAAGGTTCAGTCCTGGGCCCCCTTCTCTTCTCGCTCTACACAACATCTCTGGGTTCTGTTATTCGCTCGCATGACTTCTCTTACCATTGTTATGCCGATGACACCCAGCTGGTCTTGTCATTTAACCCCGGTGACTCTCAAGTGGAGGCACGCATCGCTGCGTGCTTGGCTGACATCTCGAAGTGGATGACGACACACCACCTCAAGCTCAACCTGGACAAAACTGAGCTACTGTTCCTCCCGGGGAAGGGTTGCCCGCACCGAGACCTATCCATCACCATTGACAATACCGTGGTAATGCCAACTCTGACTGCGAGGAATCTGGGTGTGACCCTGGACGACCAACTGTCGTTCTCAGCAAACATTGCATCGGTTACACGCTCCTGCAGATTCCTGCTCTACAACATCAGGAGGATTCGCCCCTTCCTCACTGACGAGACAGCGCAGGTGCTAATCCAGGCTCTTGTCATCTCCCGCCTGGACTACTGCAACTCTCTACTTGCCGGAGCCCCGGCGTCGGCCATCAGACCTCTGGAGCTTGTCCAGAAAGCTGCAGCTCGCCTGGTGTTCAATCGCCCCAAGTTCTCCCACACAACTTCCCTTCTCTGTTCTCTACACTGGCTCCCTGTAAGAGCTCGCATCCAGTTTAAGACTCTGGTGCTAGCCTACAGGGGAGTGAAAGGAACAGCTCCTTCCTATCTCCAGGCCATGGTCAAGCCCTACACCCCCGCCTGGCCACTTCGCTCTGCTGCCTCGGGGCGATCGGTTGCCCCGTCGCTCAGAGGTCCCTGCGGCCGATCGATCCGGTCACGACTGTTTTCTGTCCTGGCCCCACAGTGGTGGAATGAACTCCCCACTGACGTCAGGACAGCAGAGTCACTGCCCATCTTTCATTAGGCTGAAAACCCACCTCTTCAAGAAGTATTACCCTGAGCCTTCCACTTAGCATTTATTGTAGTCATACTAGTTTGTTGCACTTATAGTATTCGTATTAGTTTGTTGCACTTATTGTATTCGTATTAGTTTGTTTCTGCACTGTACTTTTGCTCTGGTTCTTAGATGTTTGTTTAAAAAAGGAGATGCACTTATGACTTCTGGTGACTAGTAGTTTTCTTGAATACCTATGTTGAATAGACTTATTGTAATTCGCTTTGGATAAAAGCGTCTGCTAAATGACTGTAATGTAATGTCCAGGAAAAAAAAGCAATTTCATTCTAAAAAGATTGTTACTTTGGAAGATATCCATTTGATTTGTCCAACTCAGACTGCTGGTGCCTCATATTAACTTCAGATAAACTTCACAACACATTTTTGCACAAAACAAGGACGGCCCAATTGTTATGCATTTTTTTTTCTTCTGTCTGACATTAAAATTTTGTCCATGAAATTATGTTTTCAAGGCTGGAGGACAGAGCTTGGTCACCTGCATCTAGACAACATAAACATGTACATTAATAACAATGTAACATACTAACCAGTAGTGGACATTATTGGGTTTACCCTGTGGTACTAGGAAGGAATTTGAGCCCTCAGATCCTCAGTGTTATGCTCTACAGCTGAATATGAGTGGTAGATGAAAAATAAATCATTTGGTCTGAAGAAACACGTCCGGTTTTCTGTTTTCTTTGTGAAATAAGTGTAAAACAAAGCTGTATGTAACTGGAAAAAAAAGTTTCAGTCAGTTGCAATGAACTGAAATGACATTTGGTTGGTCATGTCATGTCGAGCATATTGAACTCCGTTCCCTGCCAGTCTCAATCATTATATTTGGAGAAGAGCATCTATTATAGGTTTATATATATATAGGTATTCCTAGTCTGATGCAGTATTGATTTATCCCATAATCCAATCTATACAAAGTATATTCTTTGAAACATGTAACTGAAGATAGATATGATGGTAATCTGAATGACTCTACCTTGTGTCTTAGTGTAGGAATGATTCTCTCGTAGAATTCAGGGTGGGGATGAGCCTCCTGGGATTAGACCAAATACGTTATCATTAAGGCTTTGTATTCAAAGTCAAGCAAAACAGTCACTGCACTTTGCATACACACATACCAGAGCAGTGCCTTGGAATAAAGCAGTTCATGACTACAAACTTACATAAAATATAAAGATTTTAAAGCCTTCTCTGGCTCTACAGCAAACTGAGGACAGTTTGACAAAGTAAGAACTTTGCTGCAGCAAACAATTGCGCAATTATTAAGAATGCTTATGCCATTGCTGGCGACAGAAGATGCAGAGGAATCATTCTTCCCCAAGAAAACCAATCAAGTGTAAGAAGTTAATAGACATGCATGAGTTACACACACACACACACACACACACACACACACACACACACACCTTAATAAGCATTTCGAGCTCCATCCTCAGACTCATCACTTCTAGCGTTACCGCAGCAACGCAGCCCACATCAGGATCCGTGACATCATCAGGGAAGCTGAGCCCGTCTGGCTGCTGATTGGAGTAACCATAGAGACAGAGCACTGCTCGTCCTCCCTGGGTGCAGAAAGAACAAAAGGGATGTAATGTGACCTCAACTTGTTTTTGGTTTACTTTCCCAAACAGTTGAGTATGAAGGTGGACCTCCCCAGGTTCTTTATGTAGAGGTTCTGTCAGTCAGCACGAGGAATCTTCTCTTGGGATCGGGAGTAAAAGGGACAGGATTGTGAGAAAATTGTAGCAGTTACGGGCCAGTATAAAAAGCATAGACTGTATGAAATATGGATGTAGTCTCCATAATGTCACCCATAGGTGGCCACCAGTGGGAGCTCCTCAATCTTGGCAGTGACAACACAGGCTAACTCTAAAAATAGGCAAAGACGTGGGTCGTCGTGGGAGCTGAGGCGATCCAGAGTGTGTGTAGCAGTGCAGACAGCTAGCGACCTGAGACGACACCCAACTGGCACTCAAACGGCTACACCCTTAATTATGCATCAATTTAAGCTTTATTATAATTCTAAAAATGAACTAATAAAAATGACTTATTACTCATTAGCTATAGAGACCAAAACCGTTTTTTGTACGAGGCTGTAAACATGTTTATTTCTGCTGTAAGTTTGGGCATTTTAACATGCAGGTTTATGGGGATTGAACAGGCAGCAACTTTCAGTTCTGAAAAGTGAAGCCGATGCAGAAGTGCCTTAAAGCTGCATTCTCTCTAGTGTCCAACAGGGGGCGACTCCTCCGGTTGTATAGAAGTCTATGAGAAAATGACACCTACTAAGAGCTAGGTGTAAGATAAAGGCTGTAACCAGGCAGCAACCTCCGGTTCTGAAAAATGGAGCCATGCTTAAGTGTCTTAAAGCTGCATTCTCTCTAGTGTCCACCAGGGGCAACTCCTCTGGTTGTATAGAAGTCTATGAGAAAATGACTCTACTTCTCTCTTGATTTATTACCTCAGTAAACATTGTAAACATGAGTTTATGGTCTCAATCTATAGTTTCAAGTCTTCTTCAATACAGCATGATGTTCATTTAGTACATTATGGTCCATTTAGAGTCAAACAGACCATAAAGCAGGGGATGCTTTAGGGCGAGGCTACACAGTGATCGACAGGTCACTCGCTACCAGAGACGTATACTGTGGGTACATCCTCTGTACCGTCACGTGAAGTGGCGTCTGTTTCTGATGTCGGTCTGAGGAACGTTGTTAGGATCGCAACGAATGACGTCACGTATGAGCCTCAAGACACACCGTCACCAGAAGAATACACGAGTTGTATGAAAGGAGAGGACGACTAAAGTGACGGCGTTACAACGTGCAGCAGCTGCTGCTCTCACTGGAGACTACTGGACATCGCTGGGTCACCATCATCACCTCGGAGTTACAACATTATATTGATATTGATATATTGAACAGTAGAGCTGCATTCACATGTTCTGACTGTCATGAAGACACAAGACACACATTATATTCATGTTGCACAGCAGTGGAACGTTTCACATACAGTCACACACTGAGCACAGATAGTGAAGAGATATGATCGCTGCTGCGAGACATCTGCCTTTTGAACACGCTCCCTGCACAGTCTCCAGCGTTCTGTCACAATGTGTAAAGGGAACACTGCTGTTAAAAAGCACCTTATTCGTTTAAAGTGTTTGCAAACTAAATGTTATTGCACTTTTGTTCATATAGCAGTACTTTTAAAATAAAAGTGCACATTACATTTTAATGCATTTTCCGCATAACAATTAAAAATTTCAATCGTGATTAATCACAGAAAATCATGCGATTAAAAATTGTAATCGTTGCCCAGCACTAATATATATATATATATATATATATATATATATATATATATATATATATACACACACAGTTGTGTGAAAAAGTGTTTGCCCCCTTCCTGATTCCTTATTTTTTTGCATGTTTGTCACACTTAAATGTTTCAGATCATCAA